GGGTTCTTATTTTCTGGAGGAAAAAATACATTGTAGCTGAGAGTATTCAGTGGTCTTCAGCTTATTCCTTTTGTATAAAATGTGCATACCAATACATTGCAGACTTGCAGTTGGAGTGATAAGACACCTTTGTCTCCAAAGAGGATCCTGAATGTTGACTTTGCCTAATTTTTAAAAGATTTTACAAAATAAGAACCTGTTTCAAATTTTAGGCTAAACAGGTTCTTGCATAAAGGGGGCTAACTGGCAAATTTATGCCTAACAAGTTCTTGAAAACCAGCCAGGTTCTTACTTGTGGGTTTTTAATGTATTATTGACTATGCAAAAGGATACTTCCCTGTTCCTCCCTCTGGCACCTTTCTCGCCCGAAACCTCCTGCTCCCCCCCCCCGGCCTTTTGCTGCTCCCTTGACCGCTTCCAGTTTCGCCAGGATCATGCTGTCGACGTTCCAAGCATTTATGTTTTTTCCTTTTCAGGAATCCTTCAGAAGTAGCTGTGAGACAAGCCAAAATAAATGTCATTAGAAATTATTTGCTTGTTGGTGTCACAGAGGAGTTAGAAGATTTTCTATTTGCTCTTGAGGCACTTCTTCCAGAATTTTTCAAAGGTGTTTTGAACGTTTACAAAGCTCCAGGTTAGATGTGTGTGTGTGTGTGTTTTTTTTTCAATTTGTATGGCCATTGTTCCCTACCCCTTTACAAAGGAGCCAGCTGTATCACACAGCCTTATCATTTTGGTAATTCGTAGCCATGTCAATCTCTTTCATCCTAACCAACATTTCTAATCATTTGTAGTTTCTATCTCTTTTTTGACGCTTTTCTATTCTACAAAACTATTTCCAGATTTCCTGCAATTTCAAAATTATTTCACACGTTGAAAACTAATGGAAAAACTCCTTTATTAAAATACTTGTTTTCTTAGAGTATTTTTTTGTCTTTTTTTGCAGGGGAGGCGCTTCAAGATAAAATAACAACAACAAAAACACTGAATAAGAAAGGACCTTCTGCGAAAGTAGAGAAAATTATGATGAAAAAACTTGAATTAGAGTACGACTTTTATAACTTTGTTAAGGCTAGATTTCGCAAAATAAAAGCTGAGCTTAAATCAGCTTCCTCTTAATGACGTCCGGCGCAGTGATGGAGATTTTCTCAATTACACGCTACTGACATCTTCTAAGCTCATGTATTATGAAATTTTAATTTAAAAATTGACTTCAAATGCATCTCGCTGTAAAAACAGGTAGTCATTATGCCAAATTGAATTTGCGCTCTTTTTCTTGTGGCAACTTTCATTCGTCGTATGATTTTCTATTTGTATTTAGCCGGAGTATCAGAGTCTTGCGAACTTGTATTTGAGTGATTACAATTACAGCAGCATTTCCCTTTTCCCTGATCGGTTCTTTCTGGGTTTCAGTAATCAAATCAAGATTTCTAAAAAAGTTGACTAGGTTGTTCAAAATTACAAGATATGTTTCGCTAGTTATAACAACAAAAATCTGTTGAATTTGTAACAACATGTGATCACAGGCCTTCCGTTTTTTCGGGGAGCGCGAACGTCGGCGGACATGCGAAGAGGGTAGGCAAAGGGACGAAGGACCCCCTCATCGAAGATTAATAGCATGCTTAACATACTAGTCACGTAACCAACTGTAAGTAACAAACTGAACGTTGTCGGATCGATCTCTGTAGAATTTATCGATCAAGGATGCAGTTTTTTCAGAAGTTTATTTACTTCAACCTACCAACCATTATGGACAGACAGGACAGGATGTATTCCACCGAAATCGATTGCCCACAACCTTGTCATAAATTCAATAGTTGCAAAGTTGCAACTTGAAGACGCAGATGTGGGTCACATCAAAACCAACACGATTGCTATTTGACAATTCTACGACGTTTCTTTTAAAGTTACGAAATTTCACTCTAAGCGACCCCATCAGATTATTTGTTTGATAAAATTCTGTTTTTTTTCCAAACTAAACGTAGCTCTCTAAAGAGATGATGGTAGTGGGTATGTTAGAAAATTTGTTTGAACTGTTGCAAGTGTTTTCCAACTTGTTTTCTAGCCACTTTTCGTCATAAACTGGACTTTTACATGTTTAGATGTCTCAGTTAACTGTGGCTAGACCGAAACCGAGACTTACAACTCTGGATCCGCCACAGATTTTTCGTCGAATGATCTCTACTTCCAGTGTTTATACAATATACACAGCATATGTACAAAGCAGATAAACTGTCATATACTCGCTTGTCACATATTGATTGCAGAATATGGAATGCCAAGTGAATCAATGATTCATGTGTCAATAAAATTTTATTTATTCTTGAGGTTGTTGTTAGTTTTGTTTTACAACATTGCACTAAAAGTTTTTTAAATGTTCCTTTCCACAAAGCTAAACTGAGCCAAGCAAGCTTGTGAAAGATTTTTCAAGGCGATCAGAAGCGCGAAAAGTAAGAGGAAAATTAAGCCATGTAAGGGTTGATTTCCACTGGCGAGGGCGTGCGTAAAATTTACCTTCGCAAATAAAATAGAGGCAATGTATGAAAGGTCGCACGTAAGCGTAAAAGTAGAACCTCACTCATCTTCACGTTTAATCTCTTTTTATCTTTCCTCTATTTTATTTACGTGATTAAAATTCACGTGCGTTAACGTGCGAAACCAAAAACGCGTCAGTGGAAATCAGCCTTAAGGGATATGCTCTGAATGCGCTAGGATGGTGTTCTTGCCTGAAAAAAAACAACAAAAAAAAAACGCTTAAACTGCATCTGTTTGTATAAATACGTTGTTGACCAAGCTTGAGGTCAAAATTGCTGAATATTTGCCGAATTCTTTTTTGCGTTTTTATGGACCGAGACGAAGTCGAGGTTCGATGAAAGAGCAGAAAAGAAGAGCGGGAACGAGAGGCCCATCTTGCCTGTTCGAGGAGTCAATCAGAGCACAGGATTTCGTTTCATCCAGTGCCCCCTCGCGAATAGAACCATATAATAAGAATCTTTTACTTTAATTTGGTCCCACGATCAGTGATAGTTTCCGATGTTGGCCAACCTCATTGCTAAGGCATCTCTTTAGGAACTGGGAGGGGTATAAATTCCATGAGGAAAAGCCTGGGAACGAGGTCGAAACTAAGCGTGCTCTTTCCATTTCATTTTTTTTTTCTTTTTCTTCTTCGACGCCGAGATAAGAAGATTCACAACTGTTGAGTCTAAAACCGCTCCTGTCAGTGACATTCAGACATCTTAAATTGCATTTAAATTCATGTAAATTTATAATGTGATATTTACGGTTTTTTTTTGGCTGATTAATAGCGCTACTTAGGTTCACAGGAAACGCATACTTTATGAAGTTATGCATCAAATATTAAGATATTGTCATCAAGGGAGGTTAATCATGAAATGACAAAAATTTTCTCCGTTTTTGCTTTGCCAGTCGTTGCACAACAAAGTGTGTTTAATTCAATATCGAACTGAATTCTTTAAAACGGTACTCGCCATAAATTTTCCTATACTGGTGTTATGGTGGTGTGAAAAGGGAAAAAAATATGTACGGGATTCCATGTATACCGATGTATACCTATCACATCTTTATTGGTTGTACCGCTAAAAGAGCTGAGTAAATTAAGAAATATTCAATAAAATTACAATTCAAGATTGTTTGTGTTTTTCATGCAGCCACATTCTTGCTTGTTTTTCACACCCTTTCTCACTCAAAGTTATCGTTTCTAGGGTGTAAAACTTGCAAAATTTATTGGAAACATCTTGAACAAAAGATATTGCATTACTGCAGTAGATTTGCTTTCACTCGCTATGAATCAGTGTTTGTCGACTAAAGACGCAAACTCTAGAACTCCTGCTCGTGCTGCGTATTTGTACAACATATCAGGATCACGGTAATGTGGTCGCTCGCCTTATGTTTATGAATTCAATTTTTTGGCAAAACTCGGCGAGAAGCTATCAGTTTTCTTCAGCGAAATTAGCAACACACCAAGTGTGCCAAGGCAGTGCTAAAATTGACAGAGGCCAGTTTAATTACGTATAACTGTGGTAACGTGTTTTACTTAGTACGTTCAATGAGAGCAAGAAGATCAATGCTGGTCGTAACATTTCTTCTTCACAATTAGCAATTAGTACGAACTACATATCGATATGGTTTGCTCTTTATTCTGAATACATGCAAAGATAAACACTGTAACAAGGAACTTGTTTTAACCATCGTGTCTTCAGTAAAATAAAATACTTTTTATATTCATTTAAATGCATATTGGATATTGTAAACATGTTAAATGATATATAACTGTTTTCGAGTCTGTTAACAGACGCCTTCTTTCTCGCATTATGCAAAGAATTGTAGAAAATAACGTTTTTTTGAACTACGTGCTTGCATTAAAACGTCACCAAAATTACCATGCTAGAAAAGTTCCTCGCAATTTTGCCATAAAAAAAAAAAAAAAAAAATTAAAAATTCACTACAATCGACTTTAAATAATTTCGAACAAAATTTTTTTTTATACGTTTATTTTTTTTTTAAAAATTAACTTATTTGTTTTTAATTTTCAATTTATTTTTTTAAATTTATAATTATTTTAATCTCAATCTTTT